TTGTATATGTGTTTTAAAAGAAATGTATTCCTCTGATTGTTCGGTAGAATCATTCGAATAAACTAAGGGAATGAAACTACCGAACAATCAGACCTTCCCTGTGTGAAGTGTGTCCTCAATTACCCGTTGCAACATTGTTGCGAACGGGTAATTGACAAGTTAAGTAGCCATCCTTTTTTCTCGGGGGTGGCCGCCATTCGACAAACGAACACGTGGCGGCAGCCATTTTAAAACTCCCGAACAGCGGTGTTTTGCCGTCGAGTGTCTGGAACTCAAATCGGACACTCGACTAGGCGAACACCGCTGAAACCTCCACAAGCCCGGTCTGTTCGGTTCCTAACTACCGAACGGCCCCTCGTTCGGTAGACAGAAAGAACCGAACGAGGGGATTCAGGCGAACCCTCCCTAGCCTCTATAGCTAGAGGTTTTCGTGCTATTCATTCCCTGACTCCAGGACCGACCGCAGGGCCCATTCACATGGAACCGCATTCGGCTGTTTCACTCAGTGAGGTCGGTCATTTTATTCCCTCCATAAATTTCCCGAACCCCTGGTCTGATCTGGGTGATTTTTGGATATGTTGTTCACCCAGATCAGGGCTACCAGGGGATGCATGATTTAAGGGGGTACCCCTACGTTTAGGGGTACATCCAGAAACAGGGGGAATTGCTGGACTGGATAAGGGGATTATGATGCAGGCTGAGGGGAGGAGATGTGTGGGAGGTTACCAGGACAGGATTGGCTACTGTACTAATGTAAATCCTTCCCTTGCATGGGAGCATGCTTTTAAAGGCCAGTGTGGAATAAAGATTTCAGTTCTGCTCCTGAAACTGTGTGTCGTCCAGTTATTGGGATTGCTGTGGGGATACTGCTGTTATTGTGCCTGTTGGAAACCTTGCCTGTGGATTTACAATTTACTTGTTCCTGAGCCTCACTTGGATTATAAGCGGAGATAACCTGGGGAATATTGCATCTCCGCTACACCCTTAACACACACTGTACCCCCAGACACACACTGTACCTCACACATACCATACCCCTCACACACACACACTGTAGCACCCACACACACCCTGTACCCCACACACTCATACTGTACCCCTCACACACACTGCACCCCTAATATAAACAAACCTCAAACCTCACACACTCACACACACACACATTGCATCCCCAGACAGACACAAACTGCACCCCTCACACACACTGCACCCCTCACACACACACACAAACACTGCCCCCTTACACACACACCCACAAACTGTACCCCTCACACACACATACACTTCACTCCTCACACACACAGCACCACACACACACACACACACTACTGCCCATATATGCTACTAGAGCCCCTATCCCGGCAGACTCCAGGTGAATTGTCAAACTGTTCCAAAATGGTTTGACTACTTATTCTGGGAGGGCACCACGGCACTCCAGGCACCATAACCACTACATGGAGCTGTAGTGGTTATTGTGCCTGGATTTTTCCTTTAAATAAGCTACCAGAGCCCCCCTCCCGCCCGAAATTAGGTTCTTGATCCGCCCCTGATTCACATACACTTACAAACACAGATATATGCACACACACACAATCACAGATCTACACACACACACACACACACAATCAATGATATACACACACATACAGACATGCAAACAATCACAGACATACACATACACACAAACACACAATCACAGACAATCACACATACAATCACAGACATACACACACATACAGACATACAGACAAGCACAGACATACACACAATCACAAACATACAATCACAGACATACACGCATACATAATTAGACATAATCACAGACATGTAATCATGTAAGAAATTGAAATGCATTGTATATATTATATCTATATATTGTATGTAACTCTCTGTGCACGTGACTGGTTTCACAACTTGGGGTAATCTATTTGATAACAGTGGGATAATGATGAAAGCTTTCAGTTGTATTTTACAACACCCAGCTAAAACAAAAGCTTACATCTCTCCAGCAGTTCTCCTGCCAACCAGTTTTCTATGCATGTTATCAGAAGACCAGAGTAATGAACATCTAGGTGTAACCATGGAAGTGTGTGTTTTCCCAAGCTATCCTGTCTCTAAAAGAAGTCCAGGCCTGCTCCCAACCTACCCAAAAACTGGTCACATCTTACACAATGTTACAGTATAGCTGGAGGGAAGAGATCAGTGTAAAGACAGAACTCTGGAAAAAGGTGGGAGGGAAAGGTGATTCTGGGAATTGTAGTTAATGACTGCAAGAATCAGTCTTTAAAAAAACAACAGCCAAGGAGGTTGTGCTGCTCTCTTTCTCTTTTTGTCTTTTTTTGGGGAGGACAGCAGTGGTGCCATGGTGAACTGAAAGAGACTGTCCCACACTACCAAAGATGAAGGTGCAAGGGGAATATCTTCATTTAAATGTTTAAGTATTGCCCCTTTACTATGTATCTTTTGGTTTTGGACAGGATGTGGTTATAATGTGTATATCCTTCTAAAATCTGTAACAGTATCCTAATTCAATATTAACAATACATTTTATTATACACTTGTGTTTGTGTCTTATTTGGCACATATTCCCTAAAAGAATATCCTTTTAAGAGGGTCATAATTTCTAACAATCACACACATAATCACAGACATACACAAACACAATCACAGACCCACCCACATACAATCACAGGCACACAATCACATACACACATAACTGACATACACACACAAGAATCACATTCATACACAAACATTTAATAATGAAGAGGTCCACACAACCTCGCTACCTTGCTCTGGGAGGGCTGGAGTGGATCCTCTTCCTGGTGCCAGTGATTGCTGCGGTGATGGGATCACTGTGCTCTTCCTGCACAGGTCCCTTGTGTGTCCTGTAGTGATGCTAATGCCGGGATGACTTCACATCCCAGCTGCCAGCTCACTGTAGGACAATCAGACAGGCACTAGACTAGAGGGCCTAATGCCCTTGCATGCAAGAACAATTCAAAGCGAACTGATGTTATGTTTCTTTAATTAAGATAATAGTAGGTGTTACAAATTTTTCAAAAAAATGAATCCCGTGAGTTGCCTTAAATGATAAATCCTCTAAATCACAGAATACATTATTTTTTAATCACCAATTAAGATGACACTGTTAGCCCTCAGTCCCCTGCAAAATTAGTATTATATAGAGATAAAACTTTTATGAAATACTCATATTGATTGTGTTGGAATTTCACTAATTCCAACCCAGTCAAAAGATATACTGAGACAAAGTAGGGACTCTCTCAGTATTTTTTCTCCTCCAGACACTTCTAGACACTGGGCAGAGCTACCACTAGTGAGATCTGCAGGGAACTGGCTCTGTCTATAAAATAACCCATGGTCTTGAGGGACCCTCTGTAGACCTCAATGCTGTACTCTCTTGCATGTGTACAGCGTTGACGTCAGCCTAAGTAAAATTCAGCTTTGCCTGCATCATGGCCTCTTTCATGGGTGTGCTTGGTCAGTCCTCTGCAACACGCTGCACAGTGTCTTCTGGGGCGCCAAGTGTATTCAAGCTGTGCCTGGGATTTCACCATGGCTCATAAACCAGCCCAGTTGGCACACCCTATTGTTGCATGCATTTTTTTCTTAATGCCTACAAAGGTTTCAAGATAAATCCTGTGTAATCTGTCAGCCTTAATGGCTTAGGTCACAATGGCAAATCACTGGCGTCCTTAAAAACAACGGATGAGCCATTTTGCTTGTTTTGTGATTTTAAGTTCTGTCCAAGGTGCCAAGAACAGAAAAAAAGATTATTGATGGAATGAAAGGTTATTAGTGGTAAGGGGACAAACACTAAATGTTGATTTTATTCACAAATAAAGTCAAAAGAAGTGACCAGTAGAGGGAAAAAAAGTAGAAGCAGTAATTTTTTTATATATATTATATATTTAATAATATAAAAATATATACAGATTGTTTTACTGCTCCTCTGATTGTTTTTACTTCTTTTCACTTGATCTGTAAACCGAATGGTGCAAAATGCACCAATAAGTGTATTGCAAAACATATACATATTATTTATATTATGTATATCTTTACGATACACTGATTGGCCAATTTTTGTGTTATTTTGGTTTGTCCAAATAGTTTTTCATGAAATGATTGCATAAACGAAAGTCATCCAAATTTAGATGTCCCAATCACTAGTCAAATTAATAATGATTTTGAAACCTGATATGGCAGATAAAGATCCAGTGTCCCTTTTAATAAGTTAAAGGGACATTATAGGCACCCAGACCTTTTTATCTCATTGGAATGGTCTGGGTGCAATGCCCCTGTCCTCCTTTATCTTGCAATGTGTCATTTTCCCTTAATTAGTGTGTCATAACAAATACTATTACCCTCAGGAAATGTGTATCATAAAAAGTGCAGTTTTCCTATAATCAATGTGCTACAAAATGTGAAGTTTACCTGATCAGTGTGCCAATAGTCAGTACATTAAGAGTTCAGTATCCAATGTTAGAAAGCACCTGCAAGAGATAAGATAATTATTAGAATAGATTGTGATAGAAGACAACAAATTCTGTACATTTATAATATTTTAGGGAATTATATATATATATATATATATATATATATATATATCTACATTGCAATGTTATATTATAATAAAACTTGTCTCCAGTAATAGATTCACATAAAGTTTCCTGCTTGTTCTGACAAATAAATATTTAAACATCTTTCTGTACAGTCAAAGTTCCAGATGGGATATGAGGCATATATTGCATGCACTCACTCAGTAGTATAAGCTGGCCAGTGATAGTCTGGAAGTATTAGAATTGTCAGAGTGACTCATGGTAAATGCCGGTGCTGTTTCAAATACTGTTCCCTTGCCGGTGTCCATCCTACTTTGGGAAACTGGCTCCACCCTCACCTCTGTGATAGCACCACCTGCCTTCTCTACCTCCCTCTGCACCGTTTCATGTCTTCTCGCCCTCTCCTTCCCTTTTTGGCTACAGATGAAATGGCATTTTGCCGTCAAATCTGATTTCCCCTTTATTTAAACCTTGAAGCATTTTTTTCTGGCTTCTGAACATCACTTCCCAGTTAATCGACCTGCATCGATTCAGTTCTTTTCACCCTCTCTCACAATGTTGCCATCAAATCTGATTTCCCTTGTCTTTCATGGGTTAAACGTTTAGCTGAAAACTTTTCTCCACTTTGTCTTCTGTTTCTGTCTGCAATGTTTGCCTTCTTCGTCTCAATCTCCTCCTCTGTTTCTGCTCCGTCTCCTCTTTTCCACCTTTAATTTCCTTTCCAACGTCGTAAGTGAGATTCTCACTCAACGTCTGTCATCTCGGAGGCAAACGTCTTAGTTTTCATCTTCCTCATAATTATGTGGTGAGTTCTGTTTAAAAACTGTAACCGTGCTATTTATTACATGAACATTCATATTTGCAGTTTCCTCCATTAATGGAATTTATAGCCATGTAACCCTTTATTGCTTATAGTTTTCTTTTTGCAGTTTATCACGTAATCTAAATCAGTCACTTACTATTTCCTTTCAGAATATTATCTGTTGAATTTTCTGTACACTGTCCTAGTGTTTTTTTAACATTATATATATAATTATCATTATCACATTATCAAATTGTGGCATAAATAATTTGCACGCTGGAATAAAATTATCACGCATTTAAGAAGACCTGCGAGTGCACCTTATTCATATTTTATATATATATATATATATATATATATATATATATATATATATATATATATTTGGCATGTTTATGTGTGAAAGCATTAAAATACATATTTATGAGTCTTAAAAGTTATTCTTTTTATTCCATAATATTATGTTTCCGTTCATTTTGGTAGCTCAGGATTTAGTCATTAAACAAGACTCCACATGTAAATAACAGATGAACGATTTTTGGGGTGTGGATTAAGAGGCATTTGATTTAGACAAACTGTCCAAACTGCGCAATATTAAAAAAATACGATATACAAACTATATATATATATATATATATATATATATATATACACACACACACACACACACATATACATTGAATTCATAACAGGTAATAAATACATTCAACCATGACAGGTGCATTCTGTGCTGAGGTATACTGCCATAGATCTCTTAAAAGATTTTAGATTGAATGAAGATTTGACTGTGTCCCTGGGGTTATTCCATAATTGCGGTGCTCTGTAGGAAAATGAGGAGCGAGCCACCTTATTTTTGTATTGCGGTATGCTTAATATCGTGCTGGTACTGGATCTGAGGTTATAGGAGTTGGGAACAGCTGGGGAGAGCATTATACTCAGGTAGGGTGGGAGCTTAAGAAATGCTCTTATGCACAAGGCTGGAAGTCAGTTTATCAGCACGTATGAACCAAAGCACCACTAAACAATTATGATTTAACTTGGAAATGAAACAATTATCTTGAGATATCCCTGGCACTATAACTATTAGAGGAGGCTTAGTATGTTCATTTAAACATGCAATCTAAGCAAGTCAATCACAACAGCACACTGTGATGATAATGGTGCCATAAGTTAACTGCCACCACCCTACAGTAGGAAGTTAAAACGTTTGTGAAGATCTTGACAATAGCCTGTGTCCAGCTAGTTGCCCACAGTACTTCTATTTACCGCCATACAGCTACACTGGAGTTTAGGATTACAATTTATCCTTGTTGTGTTTGAACAAGTTTTCAGGTCATTTATTGGCTGACAGCGAGTGAATGATCTCACATCTTCCACAAGATTGACATCTTTGTTAGTTTTTTGGAGGAGACCGGTTGTGGCATGGGTGTCCAGTAGTACACAAGTAAGAGTCAAATGAATTGCAAATTATTTGACTACTTACAGTGGTATTGTGTTAGGGGACTTCTGGCGTCATCACCTCTACACCATGCTCAAGTCCTTAGAGTGACATTTAAATTATAATTAATTTTATTTTCAACCTAAATTTGAAGGTGATGCTCCAAGCACCACAGCAGCTTAAAGGCACTGTAGTGGTTATAGTGATAGGCTTACCCAGGTGCCATCTCACAGTAAAGTATCAAAACAACATATAGAAATGAATAAGTGAATTAGGATGAATATTAGCTATTTATACATATTGTACAAAAGATTTTTTTGTGTGTTTAAAAAAAATAAAAATAAAATTATTCAATAACTGCACTAAACACCACAACTGCTACAGCAGTCATTCAGGTTTGAGTACCTATTAAAAAAAAGGAAAGTTCATACTCTGCATTATCATACCAGCTCATACCAGCTTTCAACAAGAGTAACAAGATAAGAGCTATTACCTGATCTACAAATAAATACTGTCTAAACCTGTCTACTGTGTTTTAACTACTGTATGAATAAATATTTAAACTGTATAGTGGATCAGCATTGAATGGAATATGATATATTTTATAATGCAATTCATGTTTTCTGAACACTTTTACTCTGATTATAGTATGATAAACATAAAATGTTAGGGTACATTTGAACAGTCTTTGAGTTTATCTCACATCATCTAACTCATTCATTTAAAAAAAGTATGATTGATTTAGAAAATATTCCTAATAGTAGTTAAATTTAACAAATTGCTTAATCTGTCATTTTCTTTTTCAGATTGCCTAAAACATGCATAAACTCTGGTTCTATCTTGTGTGCATCAACCAAGAACAAAGACTAAACAAATCATCCAACTTACAAATGTCTCCTATAGGTACCAAGAAAAAAATGTGGTCACTTTCTGTGTTTCTTAATAAAATATATTCGCAGTAAATAGTGTAATTTTATCGAATACATTGAAATGTAAATATTTTAAAAAGAACTTGCATTTGTGAAATTTCATGTTTTTATTCTCAATATTGGATGGAGAATGACGTATGACTTAATTATTAAAGTTTTATTTTGCTGAATTTCTTATGATGAAATGATGGATTGTGTTTTTGCTACTATTTTGCATGTCTGTTACATACTGAAATTGTTAGTTATCTCTTTTTTTGTGTATTGTGCAACCAGTTTTGACATTTCTAAAATCATTACAATGCTTCCATGTTTACCTTTAACCCCTCAAGGACACATGACATGTGTGACATGTCATGATTCCTTTTTATTCCAGAAGTTTGGTCCTTAAGGGGTTAAAGAAAATAAAAAATGCAATAGTTTAAGAAAAAAAAATCCCAATTGTTAGTTTTCTATAATCATTCATTTGTCAGATATAAGATGTTAAAATATATATATTATTTCTTATGGAGAAAGGAGAAGATACAATTAAGAAAACGGATCAATTACAATATTTATGAACGCTTCAGTTGTAATACCGTTATTGAGGATGTCAAAAACTGAGCAGTAACCTATTTACACATTGAAAGGGTTCTAGGTATTGTATGCTTACATAGTGACACCAAGAGGGGAAAAAAAGAAGGTGGATATGTTTTTTTTGGTGCTCTCCGGCTTTGGTTCCATAATCTAAAGGTTCAGAATTATAATTAATAATGCAAGAACGTGCTGAAGAGGATATGGCAAAAATAAAATTTAGGCAAAAGTCAGGCCTCCCTACAAATTTTCTATTTTTGCAAAAATGGTTAGGTAGAGTTAAATGTTTTTGAAAACGTGGAGGGCTTGGAGGGGGTGATGCAATACATGGAGGGGCTAGAGGGGAATAAGACATATGGAGGACCTGGGGGTCGGGGAATGTGACACATGGGGGGGGGGATATGAGACAGACGGAGGGGTTGGGGAGTAAAAAAGACACAGAGGAGTTGAGGGGGAGAAAGATACACAGAGTGGCTGGAAAATGGGATCAAGAGACACACAGAGGGGCTTGGGAAAGGGAGAATGAGACACACAGAGGGGCTGTTGTGAAAGAGACACTCAGAGAGGCTGGAGAAGTAGAGAAAAAGACAAAGAGGCTGGGGCTAAGAGACACACAAAAGTGGATTGGGGAGAAAGATGCACAAAAGAGCCGGGGGAAAAGAGACATACAGAGGAACTGGAGAAGGGGAAAAAGAGATGCACACAGGGGCTAGGAGGAAGTAAAAGAATTGTAAGCAACACACATGAGGGGTGCAAAACACATCAAAAAGAATGGGAGATAATATATACTAAGGCAGGCAAGACAATCAAAAGTGGGGGCAAGAAATTCAAAAGGTAAGTGAAGAGAAACACAGGTGAAGATGCATTTTTTGTTGCAGGGGGCGAGGGGAATGCATCTTTGCCTGTGTCTCCTGCTCTCCCTGAAAGTCAATTCTTCAGCACAGGAGTTTATGCTAAAGAGTTGATTGACAGGTGAGAGATAGACCTCTTATTAAAGGGACACTATAGTCACCAGAAGCACTACAGTTTAATGTAGTAGTTCTGTAGCCCTGCCTTCCCCCCTCCCTCGCGCCCTCCTCCCTGATAAATAAAGGGTTAAGAACCTTTTATTTACTTACCTTTCCCCATCGCCGATGTCCCCCGTTCAGCACGGTTTCTAAATGCAAAAGGGACAGTGCACCCAGACCACTTCAACTAGCTCAAGTGGTCTGGGTGCCTACACTGTCCCTTTACATTTCATAATTATAATTATTTCATAATTTTATTATTTTCCTATAAAAATACTTAGAAATACAAATAGTTACACTTTATATCTAGAAAAGTTTCAGATTAAATTATTGTTATTGTATATACGACCTGTTCTATGTGAAATTTTGTATATATTGTGTATTAATATTGTTTTTGTATTTTATTGTACCCTAATGTAACAATGCAATGATTTGTGGACCCAGGACATACTTGAAAAAGAGAGAAATCTCAATGTATCTTTCCTGGTAAAGTATTTTATAAATAAATAATTTGATAATATCAATAAGGACTTGACAAAAATCATAAATAATCTTTTTTTTTTTAAACCCCCCCCAAAAAAACATTATGGCCAAGACTATTTGCTAAAATAAGATCGAGAAGAAAAAGGAAAAAAATAAAAAATAAATAAGATCGACCAAATATAAGACCAAAGTAGTCAAATTAGAAAATAAATCTCAGCCATTGTTCCAGCTGAATGGGTCTACTTTTTGACAATACCTCCTCAGTTCCTGTAAATTGTAGATTATCCTAGCTTTAGTGAAGAGATAATCTTAATTTTTATAATGACAGGCGACGTATATTTTAATTAGACCTTTCTTACTGCAACTTCATAGCAGCAATTAAAAAAAAAATAACAATCACAAACAATGAGTAAGATTATATAAAGTCTCACCACACGAAGCACTTCTTCTTTCTTTGATGATATAATGGTTAGTAGGAAATACAACATGGTTCAAACCGAGAGGAACTAGAAATATGTACAAATAAACAAGCAATATATTTTGCTCAAGAAGAAATTCAGATAATATGCTCTTCTCATGAATAAATTACAAGAAACATTACACTGAAAAAGAGTAGAACATTTGTGAAAGAAAATGATCTTGCAACTACAAAAAGCAAGGACTGCAATAACAATCATAAATGTTAATGTATAATTTAGACCCATATTATACAAAATGAATATATAAGTACAAGGCACAATATACATGTAACATCTACCTTCAGAAATTAACAAATGAGGGAAAGTAACTGAGCATAAAATCACCAGACAAAAACACAAAGAGAGGGTCAAAGGCAGGGAAAATATTAAAATTCTTTAAAGTAAAATTATTTCTTAATATTCTACCTGGATAATCAGATCTGGAGGTCGACCTAGATGAAATGGTCCCCAATGAAGGAAAAGTTTATGGAAGATCGACCTGTCCAACAACCAGTCACTGGCGTCTTGTCTGGAAAATAAATCCTCATTTAGGTTTGAGATCCCCAGAATGAATTCCACTTAGGGAGAGATTTTTAAGGCTGTGGCAGAATCAATAGAGATCTTTTGTAAGCCTTGATAAGTCATTGGAGCATTCCCTTCGTCCTGAAATGGTGATTTCTCACGTATGTGTTGAGTGTTGGAGGTTGATGACCAGGAGCATATCTCCTGTCTTTTTCTGTGCTAGGAAGATGTTGCGGAAACCCCCTCCCAGGTCAGGTGGCCAGTTGTATTGCTCTGTTGGTATTCAGGAGTTGGACCTCCTTGTTGATATGATGGTTATGACAATGTGAGACCAGATGGGAACAGGGTGTAATCTGTTGAACTAGGAAAGAATAGAATTCGATGAGGTATTCTTGTACAGTCTGTCAAATCCATGCCTCAGAGTAAATCTAAGTCCAGGCATGAAACAAATAGGACAGCCAAACTACAGTCAGACATAGGAAAGAAAGATCAGACTAGTAAGGTCTAGTAATCCCTGCTTCGAACCTGGGATTCAGGACCTTGGTCTGAACTATAGTAAGTGGTGAAGGTTTTTTTTTTTTTTGTGTACTCCAGATAGAAAGGTGGCTATATGTCCTGTAGGTCAAAATCAGCTGGTGGCACAGATCCTCTGCTGACCAGTCCTCAAACAAACAACCCTGAAGACTGTGTTACAGAAAGGTGTCTTCATGGAGAATTGTGCTTTACCGAAAAATTGGTTCACATGCTTACTATGATCTTTAATAAAAGGCTCTCTGAGCAGCATTGGGCCAAGCTCTTTGTACCACAGGTCCAACAATTTGAGATGCAATCATAGGAGGGTTACCTTTTTTCTCTGAGCACATTCCAGAATACTGTTGGTGTCAAGGGTCAATTCCTGAGTAAAATGTCATCCACCATGAACAATATTTGCATCAGCAGTCCAGTTATGTCAAGCAGTTTGTCTTGAGCTATGCACAGACCATGTTCAATACACTTGAGAGGGTCTCTACCACTCTGGGCCATACAGGGAACCTTTGTTATGTCAAAGTCAGGCATCTGGCTCACCTGGTCTAGAAGAGTAGGCCCTGGGCATTCAGCCCTTAGGCAGCTGCAGATCCTTTTATCTACAGGCTTTCAAAGCCACATGTGAATGTGATGTCCACATCAGCAGTGGTTGTAAATGCTGGACCATGGCTATGTGGAGCTCACACATAAAAGACTCCCTGACATAATGGGCATCTTGATGAACATCATCTTCCATGTCCTATTCCCTAACTGAGGCTGACTGCTCTGCCTGCCACTTGTAAATAACTGATAGAGAAGGAGGGAGGTAGTCCTTCACTTCGTTTAAATGAATTAGTGGAATCAATTTCACTTCTTGTAGACATGACGCCATCTTTTTCTTAGCCATGGTCTTGCCCTTAGACTTCACAGTTGTTTTTTTATAAGCTTACCAATGTTTGCACTTTGAGGGGAAGAGTGCACTTGTAGGGAAGGATCTGAATCTTTGAGGGTTCAGACGCCACAAAATTTGGGGCTGATGCAGGATGTGTATTGTCTAATGGTAAATGGGGTAAAATTGGTTTACAAGGGTCTTCTCCACTAAGGCAATAACAGCCACATTTATCATGTTGTGGATACCAGGAGCATGGTTAGACTCCTTCATATTGTTAGCAGGTGTGTTGGCTTGATAATACTGTCCACTGAAATAAATTAAATAGACATATATTACTGTGGGTGTCAGAAATACAAGGGGGTGCCATAGCACCAATAATGGCATATTATTAAGAACAATAATTGCACTTGTTATACAAAAAAAAAATCAATTGCATTTCTCACCCCTCCTGGGTGGTATGTTTATTCCTCATTCTCAGGTTCTCTACCAGTGGCCTGGGAGTTTGAGGGTTCTGTGCAATATATTATCTGTTCCTAGTACTGCACTCTTCGAAACAGCGATCTCAGATGCCACAGCTGGAATCTGTTGAAGCCA